ATATATAAGTTAGGTTAGGTTAGATTATATACTCTAATAGTTGTGTTAGTTTGTATCACCGTGGTATTTAAAATTTGTGTTCAGACAATTAGTTGTAACTCATGAAATGAGTTCATATACAACCAAACTAACTAACTTCAGTAGATGAAGTCCACAAACCATCCCATGCAGCATATTTTACCTTTTTGCACCATCTCCTTTCTTTGACGCTGCAGTAGCATCGTTTCTGCAGCAAGGGGCGCCACGGGGTCAATTATTCTCCTCACTTTTTCACATTTAAACATTGACAAAACAAAACAAACTGAACTTACTTCAGCTGTCGTTGCTCCTCCATTTTGGTCATGATGTCGTTCAGGTTTTGGCTGAGCTGCAGAGGAGGAGCAGATGTTATCAACACATCCACAGATACTACAGTCAGATTGATTAATAATTGCTTACTTTGCTCATTTCTCTGTGGAACTTCTCCTGATGACCTGCCAGGCTCTGGAATGTGCTAACATAAACGCCAACACGACTAAACCGACACAAACACACTTTTACAGTTTGACCTGAGGGCTCAGCAGATTCACAGATTTACTTGTAGATTTTCAGGGGTCACACCTGTCCCACAGAGACGGGAGCTCATCCTGTAGCTCCACGTTCAGCTCCTCAAAGATTTTCTGAGCCCGGCCCAGCTCCTCCTCTGCCTGCACACACATCATTATAAGTATTGATGCACGGCACCAAATGTTCAGGAAAGACACTTGCAGCAAACAGAAAAATACTCTAAAACAACACAAACATAAAGGATTCATCTGAAACCAAAGATTATCAAGAGACAGGATCAGCAGAGGAGGCTCCACTTGGCCTAGAGCCAGGATTTATTTATTTATTTAAAGTACTAAACACATATTTCAACACTGCATCAGGAAAAATGCTAAATCAGAAAATGCTGAGTCATCAGTGACACTATTGTTTTCCTGTTTCTTTTTCTGCACATTTTTTGCAGTCTGGTTTTGACAGAAAATGTCATTTCTATGGTATTTATCTGTTGTAAAGTTATTATTATTGTTTTTAGTTTGGACTCCATAAAAACAAATGAAGAGTGGATAAAGACTTTTGCACAGGGCCTCTCAGTGCTGATTCTGGAGCACCTCCAGGTAAAATAATTGGTGTTAATTGGGGGAGTAAAGATGAGGAAATGAACCAGAGCGTCACCTGGTTGTAGGACAGGTTAGTCTGAGCCACCTGGTGGGCTGAAATCAAACCCTGAGCCCAGCTGGGAGCCGCCATCTCCAACAGAACTGCCGGCTGACCACACACCATGCAGGGAGGAGGACAAGAAGACAGGAGGGAGGAGGACAGGACAAGAAGACAGGAGGGAGGAGGACAGGACAAGAAGACAGGAGGGAGGAGGACAGGACAAGAAGACAGGAGGGAGGACAAGAAGACAGGAGGGAGGAGGACAGGACAAGAAGACAGGAGGGAGGAGGACAGGACAAGAAGACAGGAGGGAGGAGGATAGGACAAGAAGACAGGAGGGAGGAGCACAGGACAAGAAGACAGGAGGGAGGAGGACAGGACAAGAAGACAGGGGGGAGGAGGACAGGACAAGAAGACAGGAGGGAGGAGGACAGGACAAGAAGATAGAAGGGAGGAGGACAGGACAAGAAGAGGGGAGACAGGAGGAACAAGGCAGGTGCAGCAGAGACATGAAGAAGAAAGAAAGAATGACAAGACAAGGAGGAACAGAACAAAAAGAGGACGATAAAAGTGACAGAAAAAGGGGAGAAAGGATGAAGAGGAGGAGGAGGGACAGAAAAGGAGGAGAACAAGACAGGAAGAGAAGAGACGAGACAAAAGTACATAAAGACAGAAACAGGAGGACATGAGGAGAGCAGAAAAAAGAAAGCCAGGAGAGAAGTGGAGAAACAGGAGGAGGCATAGAGACAGGAGGGCAGGCAGAGGAGATACAGGAGGAAAGGGAGACGAGAAGAGAGGAGGAGAGGAGAGGAGGAACAAGGCAGAAGTGAAGAGACAGGAGGGGGATAGATGGAAAGAGGAGAGCCAGGAGGACAGGAGGAGAAGGGACAGTAGAGGGAAGAAGACACAAGAGGACAGGATGAACAGGAAAAGTAAGAGGAAGGACAGAATAAAGACAAAGTAGAAGAGAAGTGAAGAAACACAGAGCAAGACCAAAAACAAACAACAATTCAGAACAAACATGTTTATTAGAACGAAACAACTGAGAGAAAACAGTTTGAATTAGTTTAATAAAGGCTAATTAACAACAAAATGAAGTTCAGCTGCTCTTTACTGACTGATTTCAGGTGGTATGAAGAGAAAAGTTAATTAGCTGCAGAATAAAGTTAAACTGGAGATAAACATTAAACTGTTTTCTTTCTCTAAATGGCACTTTGTCTTCATACCACCTTAAGTCAAAACCATTTCTCAGCTTGTTCAAACCATGCCGGCCATGTTCACACACCGCAAACATTAATGTGGACACACACACACACACACACACACACACACACACACACACACACACACACACACACACACACACACACACAGAAGCAGGAAGTAGGGACCAAATGCAGGGTGACAAATGAACATCAGTCTGTCCAGATAAGCAGAGCTGACTGGCATGAAGGCAACACAGCACACATCCAGAGGCCACAACACACACTCACACACACATACATCACACACACACTCACACACACACACACACACACACACACAC